ATGCATTGCTTTTCAAGTATAAGTGTGAATAAATGAATGTTTTTCATGCATTTTGCATACGTATTTAATTACTCAACGGTGGAATATTAAGGGGTTTTCTAAGGATTAAAAACCAGCTTTATGCTGCACGGCCTAAAAGAGCTCTTTTAACAAAGCCCCGCGTTGGGCGCCAAAACTATAGAACGCTTTCTAGATTTTAAATAATTCCATTTGGAAATGTTTATTTGGCTTCATTGCATTTGGCTCAAAGAATCATTAAGCTTGGTGGTCATTGAAGCTGACTCAATTATTCATTTCGATTTGAATTTATGGTCCCTCCCCTGGCAGCTTTTCCCTCGCCCACAATTTCCCTACTTTCTTTTTGCGCCATTTTGAAGACCTCTCCTCGCTTTTCCCGCTTCTAGCGTGTTCGTTTGTGTGCCAACTGTTTTAGGTCGCCATGCTAAATGTTTGCAATTGCACAACAACGGCAAAGACCAAAGAGAAATTCCTATTCCCCTTCCGCTGGTTCATCTTGTTCTGTGGCACGCTCATTCGTTCGTTCGCTCATTCGAAATGTGCCAAATGGCAACGTGGCAAACAAGCGCCACAGACAAGGCAACCGACACTAACCCACCCAGCCACCCATCCACCCAGCCACCCATCCACGGAACCAGCCAAACGGCACCCTTGCCACCCTTCTATACATCAACCGTCACTCAGTCAAGCGGTTGGCGCAGTGTTGCATACTTTCCGGCCTGGGTGCACTGCGAGAAAAGAAGCAGTCCGTATGCTTAAATTAGTTATTAATTGGGTGCTACATTACAAAGGAAGAGAAGAAGCGCTTTGCACTTGATTGAATTGTTTGAAATCCAGCGCGGCCTAGAAGCTGTTCTACTCAGCTGCGCTGGCTGAAAGTTTCTCTAAATAAATTCGATCCACCTTCGACAGTTTTTCCCACAGTGCACCGCCGAAATGGGCCGCTGGCTCAGTCGCATTCGTCTCAGCCGCTCCTTGACTGACTGCCGGCTTTTGGCCAGCGCACGTTGACCTTATTTGCATGCGGCGCGAGTTGGCGCGAATCAATTCTTGGCAGGATGGTAGACACCCACCCAGCCCAACTATCTGCCCCCATCAGAAATCAAGCCCCCTCCCCTCCGCTGCGGTTGGTGCCACACAAAAAGGGGCGGTGGATGTTGGGTGACCAACAAATTGAAACGAATTCTCGTATTGGAGTTCGAATTGCAATTGAGATTGGTTGCACTGCATAGCAGTGGGCTAGATGCACTGCACAAAATTCAGTTCAATGTTCGATTTTATGGTGGATATGTAATTTTGGTCAGCTAAATTCAATTCAGCTTTAGAATTGGCCATGTTTTACAATCACAATCACAGTAATATACAAAAGTGCCAGTATGAAAAAATCGATGAAGAAAACCATACGATACACGTTTTAAATGCAAGCGATTCCGAATTTCTTTTCAGTGCAGGAGGAGGTGGAAAACCTGGGCCTGGGAAGTGCAGTGGGTGGTGCCGGCGTTTATTGCGGCCAAAGTTTTCACTGTGCGCTCTGTTTTGTTGATTATTGTTGGCAGTGGTCGCGCGTTGATTTAATGCAAAAAGCCGACTGCAGCAGCAGCGACGTCGGCTGAGCCGCGACTGCGACGCCGAGCTGCCATTAAACCGTTGCAACAGCAACAGCAACAGCAACAGCGGCAGTAGCAGTAGCAGTAGAAGAAGAAGAAGCAGCGGCAGCGGAGCAGTGGCAAAAAAAATGTTAAAAGGCGCTTCTAAGTAAATAACTGGGTTTATGGGTCGATTGGGTGCACCAAATCGTGAGCAGCAAAAGGAAAAGCAATGGAAAACTGGGGGAAAGCGGCTCCAGGGAGGCGAAAGAAGCGATAGAGGAGATATTGCCGGGGAAATAGTCGGCTGGAGCGAAAAACAGGGACCGGCAACAATTGATTAAACCGCGGGATGGCATCTCAAATTGATGAATAAATTCGCGAACCCTTCGCCGTTTTCCACTTGAATTTCGGGCTGGAAAATCCGTGACAGGAAAATATGATGAGCAGTAGATGGGCGGAAATACTTTCTTATTTCGAGCTCTGCTCAAACCAAAACCGTGTGCAATTTGTTCAAATTATATGGAGGTGCAATGTTTTATCAGAGCCAATTAAAATGGAAATTCAAATTGAACTTAAAATGAAAATTAAACTGAAGCTAAAATTCCAACTTCTTTTTTTCCGCCGGTATTATAGCCATTTTCCCTTTGATTTCCGAAATTGAACTCTAGCTCACCACAGAAGCCCTCCCCCCTCAAATGCCACCGAACCAGCACCCCTACGAATACCGCACCCCCTACGAATACCACCCCCTTTGAAGACCGCCCATCTGCAGATGAGATTTAAAAAATAAATTGCGTACAATTTCCAACGGCGTTTGCGAGCATATGTGGGTAAATTTGTGCTGCAAATGGAATTAGTAATGAAGTTTTGCCAATGCTTTATATGGACCATCTCCAGCTACAGCTCCATCTCCATTGCCCCTCCCCCATCCCTTAGCCCCACGATGGGCCCTTAACCCATGGCAGCCGGGACCGTGTAATTGCGTTTGGCCGCGCGCTCCTCTGATTTCTCTGATTTCTCTGATTTCCGAGTGGCTCGCGATTCGATGTGCTTGTGCCTGTGTGCGATTCGAAGTGCATTTTCAAGTGAAATTGAAATGGAATGCCAAGAGGGTTTCCATGCCGCTTGCACCGCACCCCCATGGAAAGCCCCCTGCGAAATGGGAAATAAAACATTTCATTTAACAGCGTGAAGGTATGAAAAAGCAATAAATGTTAACTGCACCAACCGCACAATGCCCGATATTTGTGCGAATAAATATATATATGTATGCGAATATATACCTTTGGGCCTGCATTAAATGGGGAATGGGGAATGGGTGAAGTGGGTGAACTGGCTGGGTAGCAAATTAAATTCAATTTATACGTTCGCTTTCTGCACAGAACTTCAGCTAATTGCATCAAATTGAAAATGGAAATTGAATCGAGAGCGAAACAAGCTCGAAATTAAAAACCGAATGCGTAAATTGCAAGGGATAGTGTTCATATTTATGAAAGCCTTTATTAAGTCGGCATTCCATTGGTTTTTCCTTTTCACCTAAGCGACATGAATAATTACAGCACATTTGCTGTGGCACGCGAGAAACCAAAACTATTTTGCTCCTAAATAGTATAATAAATTAATTCAAAATGCTGTTTAGTTTTTCAATTTTAATGCGCTGATATTGCAACACGAATTGGTTGCAGGCCCACAAAATGTAATTCAGTTGAGATCAGAACATGAAATGTCAGTGGAAATTAATTTTCAGAAAAGCGGCGGTCAGCTTCTGGCAACACAAGCTTTAGTATCCCCATTAAACTTGAAATGTTTTCGACGAAAACCCAAAATGAAAACTTTACCCATCCAAGTTTTGTGTAATTTTGTGCATTTCATTCTGTTGTGACTTTGGCTTCGACTCGGCCATAAAACCAAGTTCAAATTGCGCGAAAATGGCAGTTGCAGAAACGGCGAAGAAGAGGAAGACGTTGGCATGACCCGCTGTCACACACTCGAGCACTCACATACACGCACACCCACACCCACACACACACACTCAAGAGCACACGCACACAGAGGCATAAACACTAAGAGAAAGAGACTTAGACAGTCTGCTCAGGCATATTGCCAAATGCAAACAAGCAAACAAAGTTAAAGCTGGCTTCTGTGCACTCGAAAAAATGAAATATATCAGGTATAACTAATTCCAAATTAACGTTTGCATGTGGCTGTATATATTTTAAAAAAATAGCTGTTTGCGAATATAAGGAACTCCCATTCAAAGTCCTCAGGCTAAAAATGGATTTTGACGTGATTTTGACATGTATGCACTTACTTCTTCCAGTGCACATGTGTATCTGTGTGCAAATGTAAAGCATAAGATAGACAATTACACTTTTGCCACTGCAAGAGGGAGACGGGGCGAGGCAGCCAGAAAGAGAGAGGACATTTAGATAAACGCCAAAAGGTAAATGAACTTTATCAGCCGAACAAGAAACGAGGTGCACACCCACCCACACACATGCACACATGCTGCACATGCTGCATACGACTGCAATTGCAGCTGCAATTGTGTGTGCGTGTGTGTGTGTGTGTGTGTGTGGCAGTCTGTGTGTGCCCTCCACTTCTGGTTATGAAATTGAATTGCTGCGCCTGCATTTATATTTATTAAATTAAAGAACGCATTAAATTTGCAAACATCATTAAAAACGGTTTGCCTCGGGTGTCACGAATTTGTGCAATCTTCAAGTGGCGTTAAATTGGTTTACAGCTTGGAAGGCGTCGAATAATTAAGGCCCAAACAACTAGGATTAAGTGCAGAAGACTGAACCCCTTTGATGAGGTTGCCGATCTACGCAGATGTACAAGCACTTTGCTTGTAAAATGGATGGATCATTTAAAATAATCAAAACTATAAAGAAATACTTTTTAAACGCCTTAAATTGCAGCACAGAACGACACAAACTTCGTTTAAAACTACAATTTCGTTGGCTCCGATTACATTTACTATTTCCATCGTGCTAAATACCTTTGCCACATTCAATTTAACATTTTCAGCAGCCAGCAAAAGTGTCAGCAGGAGTGAAAATCTAAAAAAAATGAAAATCTGGCAAATGCTGGGTAGAAATGGTAGAAAAACATGTAGAGCGAGTATACAGAAGACAAACAATGTGAAATGTAGAAGGAGCTGAAACAGATTTTCCGACTGCACTAATAAATGATAAACAAGTGCAAGCTGGCCAAATGGGCGTGGCAGTGTGAGTGTGAAGGTCCCCCACACCTTTTCCATTTCCCAGTTGCTAGGCTGATATTGAAAACTGCTGCCTGCCAAGCTAAGCAAATGTTGTCCAGCGTCAATGTGTGTGTGGGTGTGGGTGTGCGTGTGTGTCTTTTCACACTCTTGCATTATTTATGCAGGCCACCATTCGTGCGTGAGTGTGTGCACGCCACGTACGTGCCTCGAACTGCAACGACAGCTGCTCCTGCCCCAGTTACCCGGAACCAGGATCCTGGATCCTGCGCCCAGGATCCAGAATCCGGAATCCGGACTACAGCCTCCACTGTGGGACCATGTGTGCGCATATATATTTATTCCATGTACATATTGTAAGTGCCCCTTGCCTCGTGTCAAACTTCTAATTAACCTCGTAATTCATGCAGCCTGCTCGGCGCAAAAGAGCAGAGGTCCGGGGAAAAGGACACGGGTCGCAGGTCTGAGGACTCCGGACAAAGGGTGACTGCTGCCGTTTATTGTCCTGCTCCTGCTCCTGCTCCTGTGGATGGCGGATGGCGGAGCACTGGAGCTCCGAAGCTCCGGAGAAACGTGGCCGGGCAAGTGACCCAGAAATTACCAGTTACCAGCATATAAATGGCCACATTTGATAGATTATTTTGTGCGTTATTCCGACTTGCCAACGAAAACAAGATTAGCGTTTTATTGGGCAAGTGTGTGTGGGACATTGAATAGAAATACATTCAATTATACTTTCTGTTGCTAATATAAATACATTATTTCAACGACAACCTTCATTATCACTCAAGTTACTCAACTTCATTTACAATGCGATTGCACCGCTTACAAAACCCAACATTTAGTATTCAAAATGACCTACCATGACTGTAAGCTTTAATACAATAACTATTGTACAATAGTAAGGAAAGGTAATAGTGCATATAAATATTTGACATGCACATTAGACCACAACGCAGTTAAATAATAAAGTACCTACAAGAAATTTAATTAATCAGAGCTTGCTGATTTAATTGTATTGCCAATTATTTACGCATGCAATCAGAAACTGAAATTGTTAGTCCAATGAAAGTCCAGGCAGAAGTATTAGCAATAGATTTCAAAACCCAAGGCATCAATCCCAAAAAGTAGGCAACATTTTGTGCAAATTGCCGCCTGTTTCGGTAAATGCCAATTGAAATTGCATCATTTAATTGGTTAGTTGGTCTGTTCAAGCGAAGAACAACAAGGCCTGATAATAAATATACATAAATTGAATGCAATTGCATGATTAATTGTTAAGGGCCAGCAAGACAGCCGAACAAATTTCAATTTGTACAACCATTATAGCCGAATGCTGCGCCACTTAAGTTCGCAAATATACAAATAAAGCTGAGACAATAATTAAAGCCAGCCATCTGATTGTCGAGCCATATTTCAAAGCTCAAAGCCGTGGCAGCAAACTTCTCAAACTCACTGCCCAATCAAATGCTCAATTGCCACTTATTCTGTGGCTGCCACTGGACAGCATCAAACCGCAGCACTTAATTTTTCGAAGACCGGACTAGACAAAAAGTAAAATGGCTGAACGAAATCCGGGAAGAGCGGCGAACAAAGGGAGACACAAAGTCGTTATTGTCTTAGTTTTATTAAAATGCGTTCTTTTTTATTTTTGGGTGGAAAACAGCAACTTTTGCGGACAAAAAATTGTCAAAGGCAACGGCCAAAAATGGAACTCTGGCAACAGCCATTTCTGCCAATTTGTGTGCAATTTAAAGTGTCCGAAGGGGACCCTGTGCTCCGAAGTACATACACAAAAAGTTTCAAACTATTTTACCGGACTGCGGGGAGGGAGAGGGGTAGGGGGAAGCGGAAGCGGAGCCAAGGGGCCCCAAAACTTGGCAGACACGGACACAGATGAGCAGACCGCAATGGAACTGACCGCGGGGCTCCACTGCCCGAAAGAAACAAACTTGCAACACAAAATGTTACCGGAATGCACTACAATTAGGAGCTCTCAACTTATTACCTTGCCGCTGTAATAAAGCAATAATAAACGACTTATATCAGATAGATACCAGTATATACAGATAGATATACGAGAATATATACAGATGTGATTTAGCAAGTCCTTATAATATGTTTATTTATCTATCTAGGCAAGTTAATCGAATGAGAAAAAAATCCAAATCCTTTTGGGGCGGAGTTTCGTATGACTTGAAAACAGCTCGCCCCATTTCTCTCAGTGCTGGGATGCATTGCTCATAAAGCGTTCAGCGGCCCTGCTACAAAGGGAGGGGGGTGCTGCCCCTTCGGGGGGTTAGCGCTGCTGCATTAACGCTGACCGAAAAATCTCTGCAGCTGAAGTTGAGCTTACATTTTTTGCAACCGAATAAAAAGGACAAAAAAAGTATTTCGCGGACAAAGCAGCCAAAACCCCCCTTCCCCCACCACACACCCCACCGCCCCGGCGGTGCTGTTGCAACAATAACGGTACATTACAAGTGCCAGGCGAAAGCATCGAGTTAGTTAGTTTGCCGCCACAACCCCGCTCCCCAGCGCCCCTGTCCACAATTTCTGCGGTCTTGTTAGTCTGGGCTGGCAAGTTGGTTAAAAAGTTGTTGATGCAGTTACTGCTCCTGCTGCCCCGCCCCCTTTTGCGACGACATTTGTGCTAATGGCTGCCAACGACCTGGACACCAAAACCGAACAGCCCCTCCCCCTTTCACGACGCCCCTGCCCCACATGGCAAACATGTTGCATACGCTGCGGCGTAAGCGAAAAATTTCCAGCGCACAGCATTTTGGCCAAGCAAACACACTGCGGGTTAAGTGGGCGAGTTTGCCACAACATTTGTGTTCAAGAATAATTAAATTAAGCTGTCAGCCTGACCGAGGAAATTACAATTACACTCAAAATTATGATGCACTTTCAAATGTGCACACAAGTTTGAGCTCAAAGGACTGATTTCAAAACTATTTATCAAGGGGTTTGTTTTAATAATTAAGTCTGCTCTGAATGAAGTCAACCATGATGCTGAGTAACGAAATAAATGGCACTTTCCACGCACTTTGTCACTATTGTTGTGTTCTAAGAATCAATTTGTTATTTACTGATCAATTTCGATGAAAATTTAGCAAGATCACATATGTTAAATTTCTTATGAAACATGGTCTTTCGTCCAAGTGTAAAGAGATCCAAAATATTACAAAAAACTTGAGAACCAATTTTAGATACAACATCAAAGTAAAGCAATTTTGAAAAAATTATGCCAAAAAAGTTGGTGATAAATTGCGATTAGTTGGTGTGAGGGTCTTCTGATTTCTCAGTAGACAGCTCCTTGATGGAGATATTCTCGTTTTCCGTAAGTTCTGTTTCCACCTTATCTCCGTAGATGGCGTCCTCCCTTTGAAGATTGAAGAAACTCGGCACCACTCTAGTCTCATCCTCACGAATAGTGAGCTGCAGGTCGATGTCCTGCGTGTAGTCCCCAGTGTACTCCTTCATTTCGCGGTGGGTGAATCGCATGAAATGCGGACTGTCCGAAAGGAGGTCGCAATTCTCCAGGGTCTCCGAGCTGCAACAGGTCTGAATCACCTGCCGACGTGGCAGTCCCGGCGTGTTTTCTCCGGTCTCCACGGTCACCATCAGTGGCCACTGGGCCTGGGGGCAGTACAGCCAGAGTATATAGAGGTGGGTCACCCGCGGTGCGCTGGGCATCGAGTCCCAGGAAGTCCTCCACAGCATCATTAGGACGGGTAGGCGGGTCTCCCAGTCCGTGTAGATCCGGGGTAGATTTAGGTTCCTGGTCGTGCTGCTGCCGCTCTCGTAGATCAACAGACCCACACAGTGGCTTTTGCCGCCGTCCTCCGGCAGGGATTTGCCTAAGAGCTTCAGGCACTTGGCCTCCTTGGCCTTCATTTCCACCGTGATAATCTCCTCGTGCTGCATCAGGCAGTGACTCAACAGCTGGCCAGGAATGAAAACCAAATCGCAGTTGCTCAGCGGACAAGCGATGGCAACATTCTGCAGTGTCCAGTACTTTCGCACCTCGACTGCAGTATTCCTCAAGCGCTCGTAGCGAACTTCCGGCGAACTGGTACTCTCGTGCGGCGCAGCGGCAATGGCTTCCGCTCCGCCGCTCATCGGCACACTTCCGCCGGGCGGAAGTGACAGCTTGCAGTCCATGTACAGACGCCTGCCGCGATCGGGCATTAGGCCCAAGCGGGTGAAGCAGATCTCCACCTCCTCATCGGTATCGTTGCCATCGTTCTCGTTCTCCAGACGGCGCCCGTCCGCCATCATGGCCTGCGGTGTGGTCTCCAGTGAGTACTCCGACTTGGCGAAGCCCAGGATGGCCGATAGCCCCGTTACGGTCCTGCTTTTGCTCGATGCCCCCGACGTCGATGGTAACTCGCACTCGTTCTCGCACTCGCAGGCGTACGCGCTGTTCTCCATTTAAGAATCGAACTTTAAATGGAATTCTTTTTTCAACGGAATACGTTTTTGTGGAGAAGGAGAATTGTGTGTGGGTCTATGTGTTCACGTCCCGTAGTGAAATGATACTGTTGGTAAATGAAATGGGAAATCCGAAATCCAAAATCCGAAATCCAGTTTTGACAACTCATTTCAACAGCTACTGGTGCACTTCATTTTTTCAACGTTTTCAAGTAAGCGTATAAATCGTATATGATTCTTTTAAAGAGCTTATGACGGAATTACAAGCGGAGCATTATGGTCTTTAGAGTGAGTTTCTAGACTCTGCAACTGAGACAATACTATCAAAACTCTGGAGAACATTTTGTTGCATTTGTAATTTCCGGTTTCATACACACACGCACCCACGCACACACATGCATACGTAGTTGAAAAAGAAAATGCGAAAGAAAAATGTGTCAACATACAAGACAAAGCAAAACACAAACAAAACTCAAGTTGCCTCTGTAGAACAACGAAATGCAACTAGAGGGTAAAAAGAGAGGGGAGTCGCTGCAGAGGGAGAGGGCAACAGTCGGACTAGGACTGCAAACTCCCTGCGGCCACGCCCCCTCCTCCACCGCCGCCCGCCCACTGGCAACTCCTTTGGTCTCACATCGACAATGGAATGTTCCGCCGCAGAGGAAGTGCGGTCTATAGTCATAGAATCGAAGTTAAATCAGCATGTGGCAATCCTTCCAATAGATTTTTTCAAAATTTATATACCGAAACTCAGATCAGATAAGATAACCATCAAACTTTATAAGCCACTTTCGGAAAGAAGTTTTCTGATAAAACGTACTATTTGCATACAAATATTATTCTTTAGGTTGTTGGTCATTTATGTAATTATGTATAAGATCCTAAAGAATCCTCAACTGCAATCAATAAGTATTCTTTGGCACCGTCCATACATTTTTGTCGCGCAACTTACAATAAGAGAATAAGAGAAGCGAGCTGAGTCACGTGCATGCGTCATTTGTTTATGGCTTTCTCCCTTTTACTTTGCTTTTACTTTGCTTCATTCGTTCCGAGGGGGAAAATCCACCTTCATTTTCCTAGCCATGCTTCCCCACCTCCCCACTGCCCATTCGGTATCGCTTTTCCTTTTCGAGCTTTTCAGCTGCAATTGTCAGCTTACAGTGCAGCCAACCGCAAATGGCAAACAGACCAAAGCCGCTGTATCCCCGGATTCGATGACATCTTTAAGACGAATTTTCATTGCTTACCATTCGCATTATTTGAGTTTTCACAACATGACGGCCAGCGAAGGAAAATTACCCATCGTCAGTAGCAAAACTCACCTGAAAGAGAGGAAAACATTTTTGTTAGCAAGTCAGCATTCGAGAAGTGCACGCGTGAAGGAACAAACAAGAACTGGGTCTTAAAAGGTTAATTGAGGAAAATTCAACTTTGAGTTTGCACACGCACACGCACACACACACACACAGATCCCTAGGGCTGCAGTGGGGTTAAGCGTAGGGTTCATAAAGCACGTATCCATCCACACATAAAGATTTCCACTTCCCACTGCTGTCTTAACAACAACGCAGACAACAATGTGTAAAACAATTGTGCGCGCAGTTAATTTGTGTGGTACGACAATCTAGTATCACCTCAACACTCGAAGAAAAGACGTGCTCTCTTCTGATGGAACCACATATGGCGCAGAGTAAGCTATGCTCTTACTGTCGGGATCCCAATAGTTTGTTCCAAAGTTGAGGCGATATGACATGACGAAATTGGAATTGCGTTTGCGAGCTGAATGCTCAGTGTATGCTGCATGATAATATTACTGCTGCGAGTGACAGTCGCACACATGGCGTATACGCAATGTGCCAAAGTTTATACGAAATTAATGTTAATTACAACGCGAGTATAGCTATCCATCTCAGTCGCACGCCGTGGCAACATCTGTGTCCTGTCAGGAAGTGGGCGGAAAGTGTGGGTGGCAAGTGGAAAATGGAAAATGGCAGGGAAATGGGGAATGTGGAATGGGGAATGCAATTTGCCAGCAGCGCATTTAACAAGCTGAAAGCGCTTAAGCCGAAGGATTCAGCAGCGAATGAGTCGACAAAGGTGCATCGAATCGCACTGAAAGGGAATGATTAATAACCGTAATCGATAAATGTGAAAAATTGATGCGTGATGAAGGCACGAATCGCGAATGACATTTGTCTGTAAATGAAAACCCGGGGTGTGTAACATATATGTTTGCTGCACAGCAATTGAATTAGAAAAAAAGGAAACTATCACGCAATCATGAATCGTTGAGTGCAATTAACGTTGCTCAATCATTTTGTTGGGTACCGTTGGTAGCTATTTAAATGCTGCAAATGGATGAGAAGAGCAAAATCTATTGACAATAATTTCCGCTTAGCCGCTGATTAATTGTAGAATTAACTGAGCGACAGGCTTCGTACAGTTTCGTTCATAACAATAGACCGAATCATCGCTCATCTTTATCGAGCAATCAATCGAACTCACCTTTTGGCATGCCGATAAATCCCGCTTAAGCCATTCGGTTGCACAAAGGCAGGCAATTTTTCGTGCTTTATTTTTGCTTCTATATGTACTTTTCTCCACTTATTCGCTGCCTTGTTTTGTTTGCTGAATTGAACAACATTTGTACCAGCTGCGGGGATTCCCATGAACCAGGGAAGGAGCTCCCTTGCCGTTTGCCGTGATGTGGCACAAATGGCAATGCGCTTAACGTGTTCCGTGTTGCTGCTGCACTGCAACAAAGGCAGCCATGCCACGCCCCTTAGCCGCAACGCCCCCAGAGGAGACACCTTGGCACCCACGCACAGACACAATTTATAAAAGCCACAACAAATGTCTGAGGCTGTAAACTTTCCGTAAATCTTTGCAGCAATGTCTGCCAGCGGCAGCAGCAGCAGCAGCAGCAGCAACAGCAGCAACAGCAGCAGCAGAAACAACAGCAACACTGGCTACAACAGCAACAGCAGCAACAATAGAAGACAAGGACGATGACGACGACGACGACGATGACGTCGTCACGCGGATGTTTCGACGCGGCTCTGAAGGATTTTCATGGCTGGTAGCTACGGCTTTCCCCATTTCCCCATTTCCCAATTCCCTCTCGCCGCTGCTGATACGTTGCACGTATGTGCCACCGATGTTGCTGCTGCGCTCGGTGGCTTGTGTTGCATGTTGCCGTCAGCATGTCAGAGCCCCCAATACGTTGCAAAATGCGCTTACACACATGTAAGCACATGTTGGTTAGGAAAACGCGGCTAAAGTCGCCCTTTAAGTGCCCTTTTCAAGCGGAAAAAGTTCCTTCTTATAACAAATTCTATAGATGGAAGCTAAGTTTATTTTTAACGAAGCTAAGTAAATTTTAGCAAGCAGTTGATAGTTATAGGTAGTAACATATTTAGTTAGAAAATGATCATGCTCGAGTCCTCGTTCGATGTACAAAATGTATATGAAATGGAGTATTCCTTAATTATTAACAAAACTAAGAGTATAGCCGACTTGCGAAACAACAAGGGGAAAACGTACATTGTCAGCGTCTCAGCGTTTTGCGTGACAGCATTTTCTTGGCACTGACTGTTAACATTTGCCAGCTTGCCAGCTTTCCCAGCTTTCCCGGCTTTCCCGGCTGTCCCATCAGCTGTTGTTCGCCAGAGTCTTTGCTTTCATTAAGCTAATCCAGACATGATCATGCATATACTATATACATATATACTCGTATATATGCTCACCTAAAGGGAACTTGGAAGGCCCAGACAGAAGCGTTGAACCCGGAGACGAGGCTTCTCCTGATGCTCAGGCGTTTGCAGGGTTTTCAGTTTTAATATATACACAAAAACATGCATGTGCTGGCTTTTACCCGCTTTTCCCGCTTTTCCCGCTTTTCCTCGGGCATGACAAACTTTTTTTCTTTATGTAAATTCCGAGGCTGCTGCTCCTGTTGTTTTACTTTCGGTTTGCACCTGTGTGCCCGTCATGAGGAAAGCTAGGGAAAACTTTGCGCCGCAAAATATTGTTCAACAAAGGTTGAAAAATACGCAGAATAATAAAAAAGCCATAGCGAGTAGCAAGACCAAAAATCCCATCTAATCGAATCAAATTTCACCGAACACACTTTTCGGGTCACTTCCGAACTTTTGCCCTAAACACTTGACAAACTTTCAATTGCCTGGGTTTTCGGCCAGTTCAAAGTTGAGGGATTCCCCAATCAAACCTTAACTTTTGGCCAAACAAAATTTTGTGGCCAATGCAGCTGGCATAAAAGCTGGAAAATTAATTGAAACCGAATAGATAAGTTCAGGAAGCGAAAGAGAGCGCAAAAGGCGGAGGGCCAATGATTGATTAAGTCCGGATTTTCCACTGGACGCGACGGGGGAAAGCCGTGAAAAGTCAAGACGCATTGAATCGAAGGGAGTCGGAAAGGAACGGAATCGAATGGATTCGAATGGAATCGAATCAAGTGGAGTCAAGTCGAGTCATCATCAAATGCGATTAGACAGTCAGTCCGGAGATTAGACATTCGCACTGACCTGAGACATCGGCGAAGATATAAAGGGAGACCTACTTATACATCTGTCGATGGCTTCTCAACAGTCATTTTCCGACGAATACTAAATTGCCTCTAATCTACTCCAACATCGACACCAGGAAACAGACAGGGAGCCCCGGCGAAAGTTGGAGAAAAAGCCAGGGGCAATTTCCATTAACTAGTTTGAACAATAATGTAGTGGAGATGATAAGAAATGGGAAATTTTTAAATCCGTTGTGGGGCTTTTGGTAAGTTCTTGAATTTCTCTGAAAATGCTGAAACTGGCTGGTGGCTTCGATAACATATCGCGCTATTAGAAATTAGACCTAATTACCCGTAATCATAATAAACGGGTATAAAAAACGATGAAAAGCGTGGGAAATGTACGCAGGACACGGGACACAAAAGTGTCGCCCCGTGTTGGCCATAAATATGATGATAATTAAGTGTGTCTCGCACATATACTCAATTTGGCCTTATTAACCCAAAAAATGACACAGATATTAATTTTCCGCACACATGTGCCCGCTTTTCCACCCAGTTCGCCGCACTTTTCGCTCCTGCGCACACACACACACGCACAAAGC